CCCTGCTGGAGGACTCCTCCCGGAGATCCTCCTCCGCCTGCCTCTGCAGCCATCCTCCCTCCCACGTGCCTCCCTCGTCTGCCCGCGCTGGTGCCACATCCTCTCTGACCCCAAGTTCCTCACCCACTTTCGCAGACACCACAAGAAACCTCCATTCCTCGGCTTCCTCCCCAAGGCATGCCCACCGTCTTCAAACCTGTAGATCCGCCCAACCACATCACTTCTGAGCACTTCTTCATGCCCAAGCCCAGAAAACTCTACACTAGCTGGGACTTGCTCGGATGCCGCCATGGCCTTGCCGTCCTAGTCAACATGTGGCAGCATCGCCAGATCATTGTGTGGGATCCCCTCTTTGGTCAACAACACCGCATGAATTTTCCTTCGAGGCTCGATAAGAATAAAGTGGCGTTCTGGCATGCCTCGGTGATGTGTGCTGATAGTCAAGATGGGCACGTGCACGGCCATTGCTTCTCGAAACTTTCAATTGGTCTTGATCTGGGTTGCCAGACACAAGCAAGCATCCGCTTGCCTCTACGAATCCGCATCTGGTGTCAATGACCGAGACACATCTCTTGTGAATAACCAATAGCGGAACCTGGATGATCATATTGGCTCCTACATATTCTACGAAGATCTTTATCGGTTAAACCACATAACAACATACGTTGTTCCATTTGTCATCGGTATGTCACTTGCCCGAGATTCGATCGTCGGTATCCTCATACGTAGTTCAATCTCGTTACCGTCAAGTCTCTTTACTCGTTTCGTAATGCATCATCCCGCAACTAACTCATTAGTCACATTTCTTGCAAGGCTTATAGTGATGTGCATTACCGAGAGGGCCCAGAGATACCTCTCCGATACATGGGGTGACAAATCCTAATCTCGATCTATGCCAACTCAACAAACACCATCAGAGACACCTGTAGATCATCTTTATAATCACCCAGTTACGTTGTGACATTTGATAGCACACATGGTGTTCCTCCGGTATCCGGGAGTTGCATAATCTCATAGTCAGAGGACCATGTATACGTCATGAAGAAAGCAATAGCAATAAAACTAAACGATCATTATGCCAAGCTAACGGATGGATCTTGTCCATCACAGCATTGTCTAATGATGTGATCCCGTTCATCAAATGACAACACATGTCTATGGTTAGGAAACTTAACCATCTTTGATTAACGAGCTAGTCTAGTAGAGGCATACTAGGGACACTCTATTTGTCTATATATTCACACATGCACTAAGTTTCTGGTTTATAAAATTGTAGCATGAATAATAAATATTTATCATGATATAAGGAAATATAAATTCCGATTGCCTCTACGAATCCGCATCTGGTGTATGGGGAGAGATTGTCACGAAAATTACAGATCAAATTTATTTCATTAGTCCTGGTGTTCTTGTTGGGAATGAACTTTGTTGGTTGCTTAGTGGAGTTGGCATCCTAGTGTTTGATCTTGAAAATCAGAACCTTGGCGTGATTAAGAACCCAGCATGTCCGGGGATCCCCCTTTTCAAAAAAAAAAGAACCCAACATGTATTACTGTGTCCATCGGATCCGTTCAGCTCATACGGACAAAGGATAGTAGACTTGGCCTAGCATACTTGTCTAAACAGACCATTCAATTATGGCAGCGGAAATCGGACTATGATGGTGTTGTCAGATGGGTTCTTATGAAAACAACCATTCAACTGGAGGAGCTCTTTCCACATATGTTTATGAACGAAGAAAGTGTAAGAATAAAAGGGTATAATGACAAACTAGTAGAAATAAAGGGGTATGATGAAAACACAAATGCCACTTTTTTGTCTACGATTAGAGGTGACTTCATGCTCGGAGTTGACATGATGGAGATCAAACATGTTATTAAAAGAAATTTAAAGTCTTCGAACACCTACTATCCCTACGTGAATTTCTATACCGCGGGTAATTCCTCCCTATCTACATTGCACAAGCAAAACAAAATGCAGTTAGATTGTTTTGCTAAGATTCATCAAGATAATTTTGGTACGTGATTCATGAAATATTGCTGATGTGATTAAAGATCGACTAGATATATAAGATTATGCTCAGTATGATGATATGATGATCGTCTGGTGATGTATTTTCTTAGTTTAAAAAGGGGCTATATTGAAGGTAGGACAGTAATATAATTTTTACTAAGTTGCATGCCCATTGTTACATGCTAACTTGTTGCCTACCCACTGCTACTTGCACTTATCTATAATTTTTCAGTAGGGATTTCTAGTAATTGGAAAATGGAAACAATTTCAACAAAATGATATATTCAAATTATATGTTATCTTGAATAACAATTTTATTAGCACATTTGGAATCTTAAATCTTGTTACGTGTTTCCATTCATTTATTCTTCGAAAAGATAAAGATATTTTTGATGATCTTGATAATAATCATCAATTCATAATACCATGCGCTTTAAATATTGTCGATAACAGTTCTAGTTCATTAAATTCTAAAGGTCATACAATTTTCTCACTGAGATTTCATAATATGTACATACTCTGTTTGGGCCGTTGGACATAACTCGTATGGGTGCTCTCGACAACATTATTTAGGAGATGCATTCTTTATCAACATCTAATCTGTCTTACCATTATTTTTAACCATTGATGCTATGGACCTGATAATAGATGTGGCTTCATTTACTGTCCTTGTAACACAATATACTTCCACCTCATGCAGTTACTAAAAAGATATGGTGGTTTAAATCTACACTTTATCATTGACTCTACTACTCTTTGCAAATTTTCATTTGGTTTTTGGGCTTGTTTTCCTTGCAGCTAAGGGAGTTGGATGGAAATGGTTGGATCTGGAACTTTGAACATAATAGATCAACTAATGTGCCATATGGGTTCAACAGGTGAAGTAAACTTATCTTCTTGCTATGTCCATACCTGTTAAGTATATTTTTTCATCTTGGATACTGAATTTATAAGATGATGCTTTATTTATTTTACAATTTTCTCGTGGGTTAATGTGATTAATTTCTAAAACAATTCTCTAAAGTATGTTGTTGATCTAGAACAATGTAGGACATCTAGTCTTTGCATCTAATGATGGATGCATGCGGTCAATGATCTTTTACTAGTTTATATTGCGATATTATGTATTTATGAAGCAAAAAGAATTGAGAACTTGTCAACCATAGTGGTTGAAGTTACAGCAACACCATCTAATTGTTCTTCTTTTTTTGTCCGTTTGTATTGTTATTTATTTTGTCTAACTATGTTCTCAAATGATTCAGCGTTGCATATTTTCGTATAATTTGCACAATGGAAAAGTTAAAATCTATTGTTGGAATCATGCAAAATTAAGCTAGTCTGGGAGAGTAGTACAAAATTGGTTGACCCATATTGCAATGATTGTTATGCAGGTATCTAGTATATATATACACGGGTTTCTGAAATGAAGAAAAAATGGCTAGTTGGTGTAGCATGTTGTGGCATGTGAAGTAGCCGATGTTGTGGCAAAAAGTCTCAAGTTGCACCATAAAGTATCAAGGATCCAAGGATTGTTGGCAGAATCTTGTAGCTACGAACCAAGAGCACAAGAGCATGCAAAGAAAATTGTGGAAGTTCACTGTTGAAGCACAAAATCAGGCACCGTTTTGTGTAGAGCCCGTTTAACTATTTCGTGTGTAATGGCAGATTCAATGCTTTTTTTTTCAACTGTTAGTTTATATTGACTTGATCCAGAGATGTGAGTTCATATGTACATATGGACCTGCTGGTATATCCGAAACTTCTGAACGCATGCTCTAGGGCGCACCCAAAAAGTTTACTTTTTCTGGGTATTGACACTACATCAGTCGTTCATCAAAGAATAGTTCAACTGATTTGTGATGATTATGAGTCACCTCTTGCTGACAAGAAAAACTCTACTCATGTTGTACATTGCGTTATGATTTACCTGGCATCGAAGTATCATATTTCCAGCCCTGTGAAGCAACGGTGGAGCAGCTGAGTAGCAGCATTCCAGTGTAATCTGACTCTTCGCTCATTCAAGCTGGCATAGTTAAGATGAATGCTCTGTCAACATGATTTGATGAGTTTCTAGCCGAATAGTGCAGATATCATGATTGTTGCACTGCTAAAATGTACTAGTGTTACTATAGTAGAAGCCTGCTACTGGTCGTATAACAAAACATTTTACTCGTGTATCGTAACCTAGAGCGCTAGAGCAAAAGAAGGGAGTGCAACACATGTGTCAAAACTTTCTTGGTTCTCACATTTTACTAGAGCTGATAACTTCCAGATTTTACAGTTACACCAACACGTCATTAGGCAGTAGTAGTACAAATAAAAGAAACTATTTGTGCCCGGGTGGGATGTGCTACTTTTGGGAGGTAGATCTCGATCGGTTCACCACCAGAGTATATAAACGTAATGATTCTTTGTAGGAGACGTGCTTAGTTTTCCTACAGTCGCTGGATGCTTCAGGATAATTTTTGAAATTAGCCAGTTCAACCGATGACGTGATGGTGCAGGTGATGCTCATTAGTCACCACCCACCGACCCAAAAATAAATATTGCTCCTACTCAATCAAGGTACGTGCCATTGACCCGGTACGTATAATAGATTATCTCTCCCATCAGCATCGATCTTAACTGTTCTTGTCTGTCCTGAGATCAGTACCGAAATTAGACAAGCACAAGGCCACAAGCTAAATCTCCTGTCCTAAGAGAGGCACAACTCTCTTGCCTGGTGCTTCATTCCGGCCGTCCCGCAGACACCTTCACTGACCTCCGACGCTTGGCGTCCCCCCTAGCTCTTGGCAACTGAACGGACGGTGAGCATCTCCAGTTTCTCTTGATTGTCTCTGAGATCTTGCTTTCTTAATTTCAGTTTAGGCGTCGATTCAGGTGAGCTCCCCTTCCCGATCTCCACCTTGTCGTTACCACGCTCTGTGGATGGATGGATCGTAGGAATTTTGTTCCCTGAACTCTTTGTCTTATGAAACCCTAGATCAATGTATGAATCTGGGCTGATGGATTCAGAAAAGCAAGCCATGGATTCGGCATCGCAGCTGCCACCAGGTGAGTCTCTCATCAACGTCAACGCCATCAATCCTGAGTCCTGTGTTTATACCAAGTCTAAGTTTGATCGATGTACCGCCTTTTTTTTTATGAATGTGCAGATGGAAGAAGGTTAGCCTGGATGAGCCCCCTCCATTCCTCGCCAGTGCACCCGCTGGACGACGAGGACCTCCTCCAGGAGATTCTCCTCCGCCTGCCTCCTCAGCCATCCTCTTTCCCCCGTGCTTCCCTCGTCTGCCCGCGCTGGCATTGCATCCTCTCCGACCCCAAGTTCATCAAACGCTTCCGTAGACACCACCGGAAACCCGCGCTTCTTGGTTTCTTCTTCTCAGAAACGGGCTTTCCCACCGTCTTCAAACCCGCCCTCGGCCCACCTGATCGCATCCCTGCCGAGCGCTTCTCCTTGCCCAAGAATAGATTCTATGCCAGCCAGCACTTTCTCGGTTGCCGCCATGGCCTCGCCGTCCTGACCAACTTGCACCTCCGCGAGATTATCGTGTGGGATCCCCTCAGCGGCCAACAACACCGCGTGGCCTTTCCACCGGGGCTTGACGACAACAAAGTGATGTACTGGCATGCCGAACTGTTGTGCGCTGATGCCGAAGATGGGCACGTACACGGGGATTGCTTCTCGAGCCCGTTCAAATTGGTCGCAATCTGGGTCGTCAGATGCACGCAGGCATTTGCTTGCCTCTATGAGTCAGCAACCGGTGTATGGGGAGACACTGTCTTCACGGAGGTTACAAATCAGATTTATAATTATAGCATGAGGCCTGGCGTTCTTACTGGGAATGCACTTTGTTGGTTGCTTTCTGGAGGTGACGTTCTGGCATTTTGTCTTCAAAGCCAGAGCCTTCGTGTGATGAACAAGCCGTTGGGAATCAAGTACACCTCCGGATCTATTCAGCTCTTAAGAACAGAGGATTCTGGTCTTGGCCTCGCATATTTGTCAGAACTGACCATTCAATTATGGGAGAGGAAATCAAATTTTTATGGCGTCACCGGATGGGTGCTTCTGCAAAAAACTATTGAATTGCAGGAGGTCTTTCCACACGGAATGTTTAGTGAGAGGAAAAGGGTGCACATAACAGGGTATGCTGAGGAGACAAATATGATTGTTCTGTCTGTGTTGAGAGATGACTTCATGCTGCAAGTTGACACCATGGAGATCAAACATATTCAGCAAAGAAAAGGAGATGGATTTACCTTTCCGTACGCAAATTTCTATGTTCCAGGTAATGCCTCCCAATCCATGTTACACTAGCAAAAAAGTCCAACTAGGTTATTTTTCTTGTATTTGTAACAGTTACTTTTGATACGTGTTTGTTGTCCTATCGTTCATCTGATAATGGATTGACTAGATACATAAGAGCATGTTGAGTTATTTATTTCTTTCGGTGTGGTCATTATATGGTGATGTAACTTCATAGCTCAAAAATAGGCTACATTAAAGCTAGACCAGGAACATGGCTGTTACTTCATTGTCTACCCATTGCTACATGCTAACCATCGTTTCATTGCCAACTGATTTGTACATGCATTTATCCAGTAGTAACCATGGGGTCATGGGGAGGTTTCCAATAATTCATAACTGGCAACAATTTGACAAAAATAATATAGCGAAACCAGCACATATCCGGAATGGCAATTCGATTGATACATCTGGAAACACACGCAGTAATTCTTCAGTGCACTAATTTTTTTTATGGAAACACATGCAGTAATTCTTCTAGGCAACATGTGTAGTGAGTCATTAGATGCTTAAGTAGGTCAACCGGCAAAGTTTGGACAATATTTCAAACCGATGTACTGGCATTAGTTAGTACAACTAAGACAGGACACCACATGTGATGGTTATGGATCACCACTCACTGAGCAATAAAATACAAACTAATCATTGTACAACACACCTGGTACAGATAAGTAGATTGTCTCTACAATCAATTAATATATTTGAAGCATCAACTTTTATCTCCCTAACCAGACACTTGAGTTAATCATATAGAGCTATTGCGAGATGTCTTTTTGAAGGAAGGATGGGATGTAACTAATCTATAAACATCGTTATTTGAAGCATAATATCGTTGCTCAGTTATAGCAATAACTAGCTAAATTACATACTCCCTCCATTTACTTATACAAGGGCACTATGAAATATACATTTTGCATCTATACAAAGCCACCAACAGTAATCGAGGCAAAATAAATGATATTTCCTCGTACTAACAACATGTTTAATACTTGCATGCATTCAGGCATAATGAGAATCAGCTACTTCCTCCACTCAAATTCCTTGCAGGTATTTGGTGTATTAATGATCACAGTAAACGAAAAGAAAAACTGATTTGCAAAGCAAGCATTAAAATTTACATTGGTATCTGTAATTTTAGTTTGTGGCCTTGTATATAAAAATGGAGGAACTACAACTAATAGCCAATGATTATTACGATTGACATGGATATCTGAAGAGAGATCGACAACATCCATGTTAGTTGTTATTTTCTGCCATGAAATTTGCACTACCGAAATTGAACAAGTGCAAGTTGTCTCCTCTACTAAGTTATGTTGCAGACTCTAGCACAACCATCTCGTTGGGCACTGTACCAACCTGATCCTAACCCCTCAGCAGCCCTTCGACCGGACATTGGGAGAAACCGGCTATGAACACCCCTAATTTTGTTGCTTATCTTATGTCTCCTGCTGCTTTTCCAATTTCAGTTTGATGATTCTCTTGTTCTCTGTGCATTTTAGGAGCCTTAGCTCAGCTCGGCTAAGGGGATTTCTGTTTTTGCCCCTCTTTTGTCGGCACTGGCACCCCCACTGGATGGGGAGGACTTCTTCCTCCACGAGATCATCCTCCACCTATCTACCCAACCATCACCCACATGCCACCCTTGTTTGTCCGCGTTGGCGCAACATCCTCCAAGACCAAAATTCATCCCCCACTTTCACATGCACCACCTGGAAATCCTTCTACTTGGCTTTTTCAAAGGGTTGTATCACACAAAACAGGTGTTGCCCACTCCTCGTAACCTTACTTGATAATGAACACTCAAACTTCATATGTTGCCTCCATGTTCTTGCAGTCCTAAAGAATGGTCGGGATTGTGAGATAGTCATGTGTGATCCTTTGACTGGCCAATAGCCAGTGAGACTTTTCCATCGGTGTTATACAACACCCTTGCATGATGATGTCGAAGATGGATATGTGCACTAGATCCCACCAAATTCGTTTCGGTGGATACACACATCCATTTGGTTCTCTCTGTGACCGACGTCTGGTATTTGGGTAAATATATGCTCAATGGTGATATCAAAGGCAATTTCTTAGTAAGTTCCATCATCATTGCGGGGAATGCAGTGTGCTGGTAAATTTTGTGATGTGATGTGCTTGTGTTTGACTTCAAAAGTCAGACCCTTTGTGTGATCGAGAAGCTGAGATACGACCATGTTTGAAGAACTTGTGCTTTCAGCACTTGCGGATGGAGGATGGTGGACTTAGCGTTGGAGTTTTGTCGGAATTAGCCATCTAAATATGGGACAGGATATTTAACCATGATGGTGTTGTCGGATGGGAGTTGTTTCAGAAAACCATTCCACTTGAGGGATTATTCATCGGGAAATGCGTAGTGATGGTGAAAATGTAGTTTTCATGGGGTACGCTGAGGACACATATCTGATTGGTCTGTCTACGATGATTAGCGTGCTCATGCTACCGTTTGACTTGATGCTAATCAAACATATTACTAAAAGTAGTGACATGTGTTACCTTACCTATCATTCGTACGCAAATTGCAATACACGAGGTAATACCACTCTATCTACATTACACAAGCGAAGAAAGTCCAATTAGTTTCTTTTGCTTGGATTCGTTACTATTACTTTTAGTTCATGGCTATTGTAATATTGTTCAAGTGATTAAGGATGACTAGGATATAGAAGAATAAATTGAATTGCTTGTTAATTTTTCAGTCCAGTGATTTTATGGTGAAGAAATTTCTCGGTCCAGTGATTTATGGTTATGAGTTTGTACTGTATTTTCATCAAGAGGTTGGTAACAAGTGGAATCTAGTAGTACAGTCCCTAGTGTGCTCAAATATTGACTAAATATTTATGAACAACTGCTGATTAAATCAATTTATTTGAACATGGAAGTTGCCACAAAATGTCCTTTATAAGTTGGCAATGATTATTATCCTTGTTCCTTTCACTCGATGATATATGTAGCATCATTTACACATTTTTATCTTTGTCGCAAAAGATAACATCCCCCCCCCCCCTCCCCAGCATAAAGTTACATTACATCATTCATAAGATATATAACACTTTGTAGGTATGACATATATACTATCAAATTCAACTTTACCGGTGGTTTATTGGACTTTTTTTATTGCAGGTATGGAAGTTGCTGGTGGAGACATGGGAGATGAAAATTTGGACGTACTGGATGAACTAATGCACTATCTTGGTGTCCCTGCTCATCTTGATGTTGATGAGTTTTGAAGTAAGTTCCAAGTACATAACTCACTTTAACACCCACCTTCCCTTCTCTTATACTGTCCATAACCTAGGGAGTCCTTTCATCTATAAGATCGGATGCACAAATGATCATTTATCATATGCATTCTCAAATTTCATGTTACACACCAATCCACTTTCCTTTCCTACTTGCATTGAATTTAGAATCTCATGCAAGATCAAGAAACCCTCAAGAATATATCAAATTCAAAGAATGGATATCTGAGTTCTGCTAATCAGCGTTGACACAACCAAAGTAATGGTTGATTTTCTATGTTCTACTAAGTTCTTAAGTAAAAAACTCGACCCTTTTTTTTCCATGAACTCAGTAGATATGCAAACATTAACCAACTAATAAAACTGGACACCCGTAAATTGCAATATCTCTGTCCATTTTTTTAGATGTCCTACTACTAAACTAAAATTTACCTTTTAGTTAAGTGCAAAAAGGATAATTTCAAAAAGAAAACATCCAAGGGGTTTCACAAGTCAACAGCCATGTTTGTTCACTGAGAGTTGGCTACTGATCAGATACTTAAGCATAATGGAACAACTAACGTGGCTTGTTCACTTTGTGGAGCAAAGGAAGATACATAGCAGGTCTGGTTTCAATGTGTGCTAGCTATTTTTTTGGAGTTGCGTTTAGTTGTGGCTGAATGTCAACGGGATGGTAACAACTTCAGTGATATCTTTACTTTTGTGCCTAACCTGCATAGCAAAACTCTCCCTATTTTCTAGATTGCTTTTTATGCTCAATGTTGGCCCTTTTGAACCACACGTAACAAGTTCACAATTAAAAATTATACCCTAATAGACCAGCTGATTGCCTGTTCAAATTAATTGGATTTTTGTAGCTATGGAATTGAAGCCACTCACTAAGGGTGCCGACGTCGATGCCACTGATGCACTAAGCACAAAGGTTGCAAGTACTACCTCGATCTTCACCGCCGACCTGCCTCCACCCCTGTAGTACTCCTTTTCTTTATGTTGGCCTATTCAGTTGGCCTAGTTGGCTAGTTTACCTATCTTTGTATTTTGTGTCTCTCGACTGGTGTGGTCATTTGAGTGCTTGACTCCAATATCTTTTGTATCTGTATGGTGAATGTTATTTGGCATTGCTGATGGTTTCTTTATTAATAAAGTCAAGCAGCACGACTTGTCTCTTAAAAAGAATGGTTTTAATCAGCGGTGGAGACCAAACAAAAATTGAAGCAGAATAGACTCTTGAACATAAAGTTGCTTCATGCAAAATCAAAGTGATGCATACACACTAACAGTATGCAGTAACGATCAAATACAATTAGAAATTACTTCGTAAGAGCATTAGAGTGGCTAGTCCAACGAGTCCTACCATCAATTTCGACGGCACTCAATCCGCCAAAGATTAGACCGGTTCCGTTGATTAGATCAATTCCAGTTTCCAAAAATCCATTAGACTGATTCTTCTTATGCCACAAGTAATTCAACGACCCTCAAATTCTGGTGAAAAAAGCACAAAATGTAATCCATTTCAAACAAACTTGCATGGTCGTACGTGACTAAGGCAACACATGAGGATGTTTGGATCCGAATGGGCAACACCAATGCATCCATCTACATGGACCCAAGGTTTTCGTCATGCACGTGCGCATCGACTACACATGCCCATGGAACCACCGATACTCAAGACTGTGCACGACACATATGTCGGTTTCAATCCAATCTAGTATATATACAATCGGTTATGACCATCACAGTTTGAATCACCCGAAATTCATAGGTGAACCTAGTGAAAGAGCAGATATTTTGAAAAGACAAATTTAATTTAATTTATATGTTCACTAGGTTTCCTGTACTTGAAAACTTTATCGTGCATGACAAAGAATTTTATGGAAAAGGGAGCTAATGTTTGTAGAATGTTCATCAGGTTTTTGTAGATGGGTACTTAATGATGCACGTGCATTCCAAATTCATTCTAGCTACTATGCTCAATGTGCGCCACCGAGAGTTTTCCAGGACATATCATAACCTTGGTCATCATCATTGATTGCTACTCTACATAGTTCGGCCGCCTCCTGCATGACTTGATGCCCCCGATTCAGATCGTAAACTAATCATACACCGATACATGCAAATGTGTAAGATCAAGATCAGGGACCCATGGAAAGATATCACAACACAACTCTAAATACAAAAAAGACATAGAAGCTTCATATTACAAGATAGGGGCCTTCAGGCCTCAAGTACAAATTCTCGAATACAAATGAGTCAACGGAAGCAACAATATCTAAGTACAGACTTAAGTTAAACAAGGTGCCATAAGATGGCTAGCAAAAACGGGGATACATATTGAAGAGGCGCGGGCCTCCTATCTGGGATCCTCCTAAACTAGTCCTGGTCGACGCCGGTCTTCACGTAGTAGAAGGCACCGTCAGTGCAGTGGTAGGCGTCGTCGGTGGTGTTTGGCTCCTGGGATCCGTCATCTGATCGCAACAAGCGGGTATAGGGGGAAAAGAGGTAGCAAAGCAACCATGAGTACTCATCCAAAGTACTCGCATGACTTACATCAGATCTACACTACAAATGCATCGGTATCAATGAAAGGGGTAGTATCTGTGGACTATACTACAGAATGCCAGAATAAGAGGGGGAAAGCTAGTCCTATCGAAGACTACGCTTCCGGCGGCCTCCATCTTGAAGCAGTGGAAGAGAGTAGCAAGTATAGTATCAAGTATCAATGAATAGCATAATCCTACCCGGCGATCATCCCCTTGTCGCCCTGTGGGAAAGCGATCACCGGGTTGTATCTGGAACTTGTAAGGTGTGTGTTTTAGTAAGTATCTGGTTCTAGTTGTTAGAGGTCGGAATACAACTCCAAGCGTCCTGTTACCATGGACACGACTATTCGAATAGATATATCTTCTCTGCAGGGGTCCACCACATTGCCGAACACGCTCGATCACTCTGGCCGGACACACTTTCCTGGGTCATGCCTAGCCTCGAAAGATCAACACGTCGCAGCCCTACCTAGGCTCAACAGAGAGGCCAGCACGCCGGTCTACATCCTCAGGGATGCAGGGTTCTTGGGCCCATCGCCTGTTGCACTCCTGCACATTGCGTAGGTGGCCGGGATCAGTCCTGGCAACCCACACCATAAGGTGGTTGCTTTACGCGGACCACCCAGGTGCGCGCTGCTCAGTAGCTGACGTTTGGAAAGCTTCGGCTGATACTACGATGCTGAGTGTCCATAATTGTCCCCGCGTAGTTGGTTAGTGCATATAGGACAAAAGACCAACTCAGATCAAATATCCAAATCTCATTAAGCGTGTTATTTTGAACTCAGATCAAATACCATGTCGCTCAGCCACAACGTATCACTCAGGGGGGGGGGGCATCGGCAACCTAGGTCCACCACTACCTGGATGGAACCACCTGTTCCTTCAGCCCCCACATTCGTGAATCACTCGCGGGTACTCTACGACCCGACCCGACTTTAGTCACAATATCAAGTATAATATGTATGTGTGTATACACCTGTGATCAACACCCGATGTGATCACTGCCCGATAGTATAGCATGGCAGACGGACAAGATGTAGGGCCATTGATGGAAATACTAGCATTTAGGATTGCGGGTAAAGTATCAACATTAATAGCAAAGCCAAGCTATGCAGCAGTATAGGATCAACCGATAAGCAGCAACAGCTACACTACTCTAATGCAAGCAATAGAGAGAAGGAGTATGCGGTATCGGGATGATCAAGGAGGTTTTGCTTGCCAAGAAGCTCTGTAGAGAAGGACGGGTCATCAACACTGTAGTCGAATGGGGGGTCCACCAACAGTCTCGGGGTCTACCAGAGAGAAGAGGGGGAAGAACAATAAATACAATGCAAACAGATGGAACAAGATGCATGGCATGGCAATATGCGTTGTTAAAGGTGATCTAACGCACTGCTAGCTGATACGGGCGAATAGGAAAACATCCGGGAAAGTATTCTCGAAGTTTGACAATTTCGGACAGAGAAAACGAAGGAGGAATGTTCCAAGTTTGCTGTGATAGGGGCACGTGACAGATGAACGGAGCCGTATTCGGGATCGTCCCGTTTTTGTGTGCAACTTTCATGTAAAAAGTATTTTTCATAGCTACGGTTTATATTATATTAATTTTTAAAGTTTTAATTCATTTTCAGGATTAACAGATTTAATTTAATTGAAAAACATAATTATAACATCATCATGAGGTCACCAGTCAAAGTGTGTTGACCTGGCCAAACTGACGTGTGGGTCCTATCTGTCACAGAATGTTTAACCTAATTAACATATTATTAGCTTAATTAGATAATTAGTTTAATTAAAATAATCATTTAATTCACTAATTAATTATTAGTTTTAAATTTTTTTTCTTTACCTTTTTTAATAAACAAGGGCGTGGGCCCCCCTTGGCAGTGGCCCATCTGACCACGGGCGAGGCTAACGGGCACGACCATGGGCACCCGCCGGGGCGAGCCGGGGCGCTGTCCCCAGCGCAGCCAGCCGGGGCTGCGGCGAGGGGCACTGCAGGGTGGAACCGGGTGGCGGCGAGCAGGGGTGCAATTCGGGCGCGGCTGCCTATTCGGAGGAAGGCGGCGGGGCACTGGCCATGGCGAGCCGCAGTGGGCCGAGGCCGTGGCACGGAGATGCGGGCCAAGGCGAGTCGCACGGGGCAGCGTGACGCGCGGGGGGAGGGAGGGCAGACGGGTGGCAGAGAGATCGGGAGAGTGGGGTAGTGGGGGTGTGCGCCAGGGTTCGGTGGGGGAGTAGGGGGTTATGGTGGTGCGGCTTGGTCGGGGTGTGCCGGCCAGCTCGGCCGGGTGTGGATTTTTTTCTCATTTCTTTTCTTTCAGCTTTTGTTATTATTTTCTCTTCTTTTATTCATTCTTTTTTATTTTATTTTAGTTACACTTTTTAGTTTAAAATAAATTACATAACTAGTTCCTTAATTAGTTGAAATAAATATACTACTGCCAC